GAAAAACCTCGGGAGTTTTCGTTATTTATGTGTACTATATTTCTGACAAACAGAATTATAAACAACTTGAGAGCTGGTACAGCTGAATACTGGTTTAGGTTGCTGTATTTCACATCAACATAAAAGACAAAGAAATGGAAACAGCAACATCGACAGAGGTGAAAAAAGAAAAACTAGGGAGCCACAATTTAGTAGAAAGGAAAGATACAAAAAAATAATGCATTCTAGGTTTATATGAAAACAATGTGCGGAAGTATGCGTATCACTAAAATTGAGTTTCAGTCACATGACTAGAAAACAGTAACCAATTACTTCCATTGTCTTAAAGATCATATGCAAAAATCTGAAAAATCATTGGACAAACAAATCAACACAGAACGTCGTACAGAATTGCATTAGTTCACGTCGCCATACTTCACTGTAGCATAAAGATAACAAATGGATAGAAAAGATGATGTACACAAACAGTTCAAGACTTTATGAATTCGTCATCAAGTCCCGTTTCAGAAATTTTGAAATATCAATTTACATGCTTCCACCTTTTCTTCTACCACCGCTAACATTTTATATTGATGTGTAAGACGATTGATATGAGTGAAAGATGAGTAGATCATCTGGACTTGTGAATGGTCATTATATCACCAGCTGAGTCATCTACTGTAACTAGCACTTCGGGCTCAACATCAGTAATAGTAACGTAGTGGTTGCACCACGTACTATTGGCTGTGCAAAAGCAAAGGCATTTCAGTAATAAAAATATGAAATCACCTGATGTTGTCTATCTCAATGAGAATGTTTCACAGATTTGTAGTAGGAAAGAGTGTACAACTAAACGGTATTTCAAACTGTTATCTAAAGGATATCTTTTTCAACTCACAAGGCCATAACAACATACTGAATTCTGTGAGTTGGATACACTTTATCCATGAAATCCTAAAGATTTTAAAGCCAAAGGCCAATATATATTGCGTCACAGGGAAAAGTTACGCAGTGGGGAAATAAACAAAATGATCACAAAATAAAAATAGTTACGTCATATGTGGACTATCCGAAGTGATCGATAATCTACGATGACCATAGCATAGAAAAAGGTTATACATACTTCGTTTGAATGCATAATGATGACTTGAACTTTTGAATCGCTAATGCTTCAGCTATACCCAGATGTCCTAACCTCAATCCATTTGAGTGACTTGGTCGCAATTTCGAAGAACTCATCAAAAGGAGCCAAATGTCCTGAGTGTTGTGTCACAGAGCTGAAGATGCATCTCTGTTTTCCCCTTTTCAGCCAAATTGGATAGTTTTTAGCATAACTGTTTTTATATGATACTGTCGTTGATTGGACCGAATTGATCGGTCTCTATTGGCATATGGGCTCCTGTGTGGATGTCTCGATATTGCCAGTGTTCTAATTATGTCAATGATGGATCGTTGCTAGCAGTGGAATCCAGGATGAGCATTTCGTCCTGTTTGGGACTTGTCAGCTGGACGTACCTGCTTCAGAGGTTGAGACCAGTGTTGCAGGTAGAGACATTCATACTAAGTTGTTTGAGCATTCAAACTGTTAAATGAAAGCTTTTCATAAGGCTACAGCAAAGTTTGTTCTGAATTACAAGTTGAAAGTACTAGCTGTGACAGTGATGAAAAATCTATGACAAGAATGCAAATGCACTTACTAGTTGATCTTTCTCAGTCTCCTCACTGAATACCTCACTACTTGCTACAACGGAATAAAAAAGGCAGATGTAAGACTTGGTCAAGTATAATTCAGGCCGATTACCGCATCGATTTTAAATGATCACTTGTTCAAGTTATTCTATAGTATTATTTCACAAACATTTTTACGAACCTTCTTCCGACTCGTTAACTATTGTTTCTCGCCGCATCGTTGAAAAGTAATAGCCAATTAACTGGAAACCATATTCCTTATTTTGCAGTCCTAATGCCTTTTTGTAGATTTATAATTTGTCTATTGTGGACACGTGACTTTTGTGCATAAATGAAGTAGCTGTAAACCTTTAAAACATGATTCCTAGTAAAAGGAATGAGAACATCGCTTCTTGCGCTCAGCTCAGTAAGTAAATTACATGTGTGGAGAAAGCACATTCGATTTCACCTACACTGAGACAATGGGGGGTAAAAAATCGAATATCCTTAGAAGTCACTATAATAACTACTGGGATAGCCAATTACTTTTCTTTATTTTGTGAAAAACGGCCTTTCTGGCTGGAATGCCGAAACCTGATTGGTTAGTTCAGCAGTTAGGACAGAATGACCCTTAAAGTCACTCAAAAGTTACAGCCACGTGACCGTTAAATTTACAGAAGCAGTTATCACTACCCATCACGTGAAAAAAACCTAGTTGCTTACTTGCTAATATAACAGAAGTCTTCATTTATTTCTCCTATCTCTACTCATGCGCTTCTCTACTATTTATCCCGACAACTTTTTCTTATTGTTTAGTCTCTTTTTATATGTTATGGTTAATCATAGCATCTTGAATCTATGCACTTTTGTACAGCATTATGCGCAGTTTGATCTTTGCCCCTCTTTCCAGTGCACTCTATGCCACTGTTTTCCAACGTATGATTGATTGTAACAGTGTTACCTCTTGTATATTTCATAATGTCGTTTTATTTTCGTTTTTTGTAGCGCATCTCTTGGTACATATGTTCTGCGATACACGCTCCCATCAATTAAAGAAAACGGATAAACGGAAACCTATCAAGCATAACGAGTTGACAATTAACTGATGGTGAAACAGTGCGACTCAATGTGGTACATATTTACGTACCAGGTTATGAGTCATACTTAGTGTATCAAGGTTTAAGTTAGTACCTAATCACTCGGCCAAAGTGTATGCAGCGAGATTTGAACCCGAAACCCATTGGTTAAAAGTGTTTCAGTAAATGAACCAGATTTCCACAAGTAGAGTTACGAATATCCCCAAAATATCCTAATACTTAACTTTATTGTCAAACACAGTATTGATACTGGATGATGATTGAAGGTGAAATGAAAATCTGGGTCTTGGTAGGATTCGAACCAACAGCCTCCGGGTTACCGGCCTGGTGCTCTATCGGGCGAGTTACGAAACTCAGCCACTAACCAGGTTTCAACCTGACTCCAAGACCTCTGCCCAGATGTCGTGCGAATTCGTGAAAATTAACTATCCGTTCATCATAATCACACTGGTTTCCAAGCTAGGTCTTTACATCTCAATCGAAATGCAGTTAGGTCTCATAGCTCACTTGGTGGACCAACAGGCTCGCAATTCTGAAGCCACTGGTTCGAACCCTGATAGGAGCTAGGGTTTCATTTCGCCTTCAATCACCACCCAGTATCAAATTACGGATCTCTCGGATAATCTCCTTAAATATCGAATATTCGAAGTACGCACGAAGTCTTTTGTCTGTTGATTACTCAGATGAACTTTATTGTGTCTACTTAAAGTCCCATATCACATAAGTGATGTCGCTTATGTAGTACGGGATATTAAATATGATATTGTTAGGTACGCACACAGTTCGGATTCATGAACTTAAAGTAAAATTCCATTTCAGTCTGTTTATTAGAAATATCACACAGTGAGACAGTAGCATTTACTGGATAACGTTTCGGACACAATTTATTGTCCATATTCATATCAGGAAAATGTTACGCATATCGCAAGCTGGCTACTACTTCGTGTGAATAGGACTAAAATAACTCGATTATTAAAAGACATGTCACAGAAACGCATATCTTTCACTGTAGAATTAATGTCAACATCCATTTCATTCCTGATTGGCTAATTTTTTCCTTCACTGTAGTAATGAATAAGCCGACAATCCGATCGTTGCAGACAATTAAATTCATCAGTAATAAATTTTATCACACTCAAAGAAGATTTTGTTTACCTTCGATCCCAATAATTAGGCATGAATAAAGAATAGAGTGAACAAATATTAAAAAAAACTAAATCACACTTAGTGGCTAACACCATAGATGCACAATGGGATAAAAATAGTCAATGAATAGACTGATTTAAGGCTGAATGAGGGCAACTTATGAGAATGTATATAAGTATCACATACAGCAACGTTGAAATTAATAACGATCAAGTGGTTAGGGATCGAGCTGAAAGAATAGAAAAAAATGGATAGAAATATAAAGGACAAGCACAGTGCACTACATTATAAGATTTAGTGTTTTTACCATCATCAGTTGTATTTTTCTAATAAGCAATATCAGCTACTCCACTGGACTTATCTTCAAAGGTGCATAGCAAGTTATAAAAAACAGTAGGATAAGGCCTAACTCATTTCAAAATAGGCCTTTTACCATCACCTATAGAATATTGTTTAGACAGCCAGACCAAACTTATTTGAGCACTGTGGAATACTGGTTTTCTCTAATGCAATTAAAACAAGGTAGGAAAGTGTTGATAAGTCTAAATTTTACTTCTTACACTTTAAAAGAAGAGGAAACATTCACTAACAATAAGCTTAGTTTTTAGATTCAAACAGCCTAATCAAATTATTAAATCTATTACTAATGATAGATTTTTCTTATAGATTATAGCTTAGTGATACACTCGCCTATTTTGTCTGTAGGTGATACCAGTCTATATTCCTAGTAAGGAACAAGAATTTTTTCAGACTTGCTGATACATCTTGTTGATGGGAGAGTCAACAACCATGAGATCTACGTCGAGTGGGAGGAGCTTTTGCTGACTGATTCTTAATTTATGAAATATTCCACTTGACTCAAGTAACTGTTCACACATAAATAGACCTTATGCAGTGTGGATATCCTAAATTACAGTTAAGCTTTCAGTTCTATTGTAAAGTTTTGCACTGCTTCACGTTTAAGAAACTGGGAATAGTGGAAGTCGGGGATTCTAGTTTAAACAGCTGGTATTTTTTTTTATCACTAATCATATCGACATAGCAGTGGATATATATATATATATATATATATATATATATATATATATATATATATATATATAAGTGTACCTTTTTGTTTACAAGCGGCTACTGCATCACTGAACTTTCTGATGTCGCGTCTGTAGGTGTGATCAATTTGATTGTAGAAGTAATCATCATCTGAAGCAACCAGGAAATTGTGAGTTAGTTTTTTAACAAGAAACCTAAGATGTACAATAAGAAAAAGCAGTTTTTTGGTAATTTATTCATGATGAAAAGATTTATTAGGAGAAAGTATTAATACCAACTTAAAACGCAAAATATACAAACAGATATGAAAATTTCCGGGAAACATAAGGCGTCAATATATGGAGTCTCACAAACATTATAAAGTATATGACTTAGTAACTTTCCTTCTCTTTTTAACATGATGTTTAATTCAAAAGCACTACCGCTGTTTATCAGCAATAAAGTTGTGAAGATATTTTAAGGTCTTCAGTTGAAAAAAATCTTTACAATCCTACCAGTCTTCTTCTTCTTGTTGACTAGCAGAGTTGAACAACAGGTTGTTATACGTGCACTACAGCAGTGAGATTTTGTGTTTAAAATCCAGTACAATTGCAACTGGTAAAAATGCACATAAAATGTGTACACAATCAATTGTAACAAGACACAATATTGTATGCTCATCTAACAAGGTACTCTCAGTACTATGGAATAATTCATCACACTTGCTTCTCTTTTTCATCCAAAAAAAGCACAAATCGGTATCACTTATAGAAACAGTGGAAACCTGAGAGTACTAGAGAAATTCTTCGTCCTAGTATGGGGCTCTCCAGCGGTACTTACCCTCAATCCCGTCAAGGTTTGGTCGCAGGAGTGGCAGGTCTCATCGAGAGCACGTTAACCATTTAGTCACCGGGTTCGAATATCATGGTCCAAATTCTTTTCCCTTCGTCAATTTGCAACGTTGAATATTTGTCCTCACGTCCGACTTTCTTGTGGTCATTAGTGACATGCTTCGAGATGAAATATCCTGGAAGTCTGGTGAGGAGTCATAACCTATGGGGCAAACTAAGTCGGAGATGAAGACAAATATTCAATGATGGCATTGGATGATGATCCCGCCACATCACGAATTGAGAGGTAAAAAATGTAGACCAATGGGTCCCAACCCGAAGACTAAGTTGCTAACATGCTCACTACGAGACCTGATACTCATGTGTTCGAGCCCTGACGAGGTCACGGGTGCGTACCGCTGAGAAGTACTGTACTGGGGCGAAACGGCTCTCCAGTGCTCCCAGGATATCAATGGTTCTAAAGCTAATATTGGTAAATGATGAGTACTACCTTGAAACAAATCGAACCCCACAAACTGAAAAACAGCACAATTTTAACTCTTCGATAACTGCAGAGTAGTCACGCTAATTAGCAATGTCTGATCCCAAACAAATAAAATGTGTTTGACTTTTCAGTTAACTGAACTTGGTTAGCGAATATTACTGAACAGTCTGAGTGTCTCCCAACCATTCATATCAGTCATTAGCCTATACTGCCTAGCTTTTCCCGTTCGTCAGTGATGGAGTAGCCTATTTATTATTTGTCCTTCGGGTTCCTAATGGAACATAGGGCCTCAGTAGACCATCTCCATTTCACTCCGCAATTCTCTGCAGTCCTCTTAACCTGGATCCACGACTACCAAGAAGCTTTCATTTCTTCCTCCCACGATCTCCTCCATGTCACCCTCGCCTCGGACGACCAACTCACCGTTTCCCACTCAACTTCCACTCAAGGGCCAGGCCTGGCGTGTCATGTCCCAAAACGCCTTTCTCAGTCTATGTCCAACCCAGTCCATCTCAACTTTATTCCTACTCACATTTCTTGGGCGACAGGTTCTTGCTTCGTTGGTTTGTTGCCAGAGTTCCTGGTTGTTTATTCTTTCTCACCATCCATCTGATCCTCAGGATCGAGCCAAAGTAGGCAGCTGTTCATGAATGTCTGTCTCTCAACCATCACATAGAAGCGCTGACTAACTTGACTGACATTAGTGTTGAAAAACCGGATCTTGCTCATGCGTTTTGCTGAGTGCAGTAGATCTCCATATTGATTTCAGATAAATGGAAGCCCATCTTGCTGTCTTTCCCATCCTGGCTTCAACATTCTCATCTGTGTCTATGCCGCCTGCAGTTGAAACGATGCTGCCTAGCTAGCGATGTAGGTACGTAGGTAGGTGAAAGAGACAACTTCCTTTCGGTTTCTCCCAGTCATGGTGATTGGTGTTTGTTGTTGATGCTGTTGTCGGTTGGATGTCTCCATCACCTCTGACTTCTCTACATTCACTTGAAGTCCCTTCTTCCTTCGCTGACCCGCCTCTTCTGTCATGTTGGTTGTCTTGTTGGTTTTCGCCTGTACATCTTCGAGTTTGTGACACAAGACATTAGACATAAATCATCATCATCATCATCGGCGGCGGCGGCAGCGGCAGCGGCGGCGAAATCCAAATCTTCTCCTCGGGTCTTTTCATCGGTCCAACCAGAGTATGCCCATCTTCTCACAGCTCATCACAGTTGTCTCTCGCATGATCCACTCCACTCCACTCCACCACAATTAGGAAGACCATCGGGGATAGTAGGCGGCAACCTTGTCTTCCTCCTTCCTGTCTTCACTTCAAACGCATCACTGAGCTTTCCATTGTCAATCACTTGGCATGTAGCATCATATAGCATAGCATATAGCCTATAGCTGTTCAATGTGGTGCATAAGGGTTAGTTGCACTAAAACGGTAGTGTTGAAGCAGTTGTCTGCCAAATCGCTTCTCAACTTCAAAGTCGATGAAGTTGAGGTGAAGATCCAGTTGACTTCCATTCTATGCTCTGTTGTATGGTGATGCGTAGAGCAGCATTGCAATTTGATCCACAAATGACTTGTTCTTCTCGAAGCCAGTCAGCCAACCTGTTCCGGTCGTGATTTGAATACAGAGCATTTTGTAGTCTCTGCACGATGATGCGGCTCAATATTTTGCTTGGGGTGGACATGAGTGGAGGATGATTTCTCGTCAGTTCATTGTAAATACTTAGTTCTTTCTTCTTTGGAAGTTTGACAAGGTAGCCCTTCTTCCATTCAGTAGGCAGGTACTTTTCCTGCCTTCCAAAACTTCTGCAATAGTGGTGTTAGCATGTCCGCTGTAGTCTCTGAGTCTGTTTTCAGTACTTCTGAAGGATTTCCATCTAGTCCTGTCACTTTCTCGGATTTCAGCGACTTAAAAACTTTCAGGACTTCGGACTTTGTCGGAGGGTTTGCGTTCACTGATAGTTGTGTAGCCGAACTTGCGGTGTTATTTCTGGACGAGTTGCAGGTGGTGGTGGTAGTTGATTCAAGAGGTTTTTGAAGTGATCAGACCATTGTTTTTTTCTTCCTCCTCTTTGGCAGCAACTAGGTTTCCTTCACTATCTTTCATTGGTCTCATCTGCGTTGATCTCTTCCTTCCCAGATAGTAACCTGTTTATTTGATATAATGTTGTCAGGTCTGTGTGTCTCCTACCGGCCTGCAGCCTGTTCTGCTTCACTTGCCAGGGTGTGTAACAAGTGTATTTTGTCTTTCCACACACTCTTCTTGACTTCTTCGTTCAGTGTAGCGTTTTGTAGTTTGTGTTCAGGTCCACTTTTCGTTGTTCATCACTCCACTCCACTACAATGCACTGTACTGCAGTACACTGTACTACACTGGTTCATCTTCTCCTTCATCAGCTTCCATTTGGAGATCCGTCAAGATCCATTCCTCGTCTCCTCTCGTCTCGTCTCGCCTTCTCTTCTTCCTGCTTAACACGGTGATGGAGGTTTCCTTCGACATCTGTTTTACAGAGTTCCAGTGTTCTTCAACACTGGTCTCTTCAGGTGTGTTGATTAGTATCTCCTATTTCGTCGAGATGACTGACTGACTGACTCACTGACTCACTGATGTCAAGATGTCCTTTGTAGTTTAGTCCTTCAATTCACTTTCTGTTCTGGGTGTTCAACTTGAACTCTGGTCTATCATCACCAACTCCTTTGAAGGTTTCCAACTTGATTTGGAAGGTAGGTTGCTTGCACTAGATAGTGAGTGAGTGGTGTCAACCACCTATATCTGCTCCCCATCTTGATTTGATGTTGTGTGCAGTAGGCTGCATCTCCATCTCCACTTTCTTCACATTGAGATGAAGTTGATGTGATTTTTGGTGTAGTGTGTCCATGTGGTGTCTGGTGAAATCGAATGCATATCGCTGCCTTGTGAATATCCTTGTGTTTGTACACACTGCCTCACCTCACCTCACGTCGCCTCGCCTCGTCTCGAATCCCCAAATCGTTGGATGCGCAGAAGTATGCAAACAGTTCTCCATTCTCGTTCATTTCACCGAGTGATTGTCGACACATGATGATCAGTTCTCTTCCTGTGTATTCCACTCCCAGTTTCGCATTCATGTCACCTCACCGATTCGAATGAATTTCAATGTCGTTATCGCCAAGTGGAGTGGTGTGTTGTCCAGTACTGACTGATTGCAATTGTTTGTAGAATTCCTCCTTCTTCTTTTCATCTGCATTGTTTGTAGATGCGTAGCGTAGCGTAGGATTGTATGATGGTGACCTTCCTTCCTTTTGAGTTGAATCTTGCTGTCATAATGCTGATGCTAGAGTGCATTGGTTCCCACAGCATGAGAGAGAGAGAGAGAGCCTTCGATGCTGTTCAAGGGGACAGTATGATAGCCACTCCGAAACTGAGTATGCTCGTGATTTTCATTTCGGTGACAATATCAGAGTAGGTTATTGACTGTCGAGTTGACAGTTTGGAGAGGTTACTCCCATTCCATCTGGAGATTCCTAGCACTTCTATGCTATACCTTCTCATCTCTTTGGCAATCTCTGCACCCTTGCTAGGTTCATACATGGTGCGGACATTCCATGTCCTTATTCTTACTTTCGCTTTGATCGAAGGAAAGAAGTCACATCGGTCAATTGGCTTCCTGAAGGCTTTCACCAAGTGGCGTCATTTCGTCTCTCCGATTCCAGTGAGGAATAAGTTCATTTTCATTTTTTATATGTTTTTGTACTTTGAAGTTTCTTTAGCGATTGGACTGGCTTTATGGGGTAGGGTTTCTAGCGCTATGCCCACCCTTCCTTTTTTATCCGGGGTTAGGACCGGCTAGTAACTAGTGAACTAGTTAACTAGGCGACATTCAAGTAGCCTACA